GGAATAGTAATCAACTTGCTGTTACTGCGAGCATTGGCTTGAATAGATCAGCACATGCCGTGTGTTTATGTAAGCTGTGTTTATTAATACATTTCGAAATGTATTAATAACCGTTGTTAACAATGCATGATTGACATCGATCGAAGATTTTTTTATATTTTTTATTTTTTTTTTAGTTGATTACTATTCCTATTCTGAATTTTTGTTATAACTTCTTAATAAAGCTCTATATGACCTATGTTTACATAACATTTTTTTCATACTTTGTGCCATAGAATATACTGACAAAGTTTGAACATTAAAACCTGGGACACCCTGTATAGAGTGAAAAATGATTTAAAGTATTTTGAACGTTTATAAAATGTATTGTGACAAAACTTTAATAACGTGTCTCTTATCTAAGCTTCAGCGAAATCATTTCGTTGAGAATCTGTCTCAATCATAAATAAGATAGCAGCTTTATTGGTCAAAGCTTTATTGAACGTGTACTTTTACAATCTAGCCACTGAATATGACTTGGCTAGTATATGAAATCATTACATCTTTTGCAAAAATTCATCTATCGTCGATGATTCGAATCAATCCGAATTTGAATCCAAATCCGAATCTGTATCTGAATCTGAATTAAATGCAGTCTTTATTCCCAACTTCACGTTTTCGACATTGATGATGACCGATAAAAATACATACGTATCAAATGTTTTTCCGAGAACTACCTCTCATAACAATATTCAAGTTGCTACGTTAAACAGTACAACTTTTTAAAGGCTAGACTAAATGACTTGGAATCTTTTTAGATGACAGGAAGACTATAATAAGAGACTACATATATAATTAGAGACTACATATATAATTAGAGACTACATATATAATTAGAGATTATAGTTATTACTATAATATATATTTTTTAAATTTTGCTATTACTTGAAATAAGAAAGAAAAATGAGAAACTCATGTTTTTCAACTTTTCTATCTAAGCTTATGACGAAAATTTTAAAAATGCATTTTGTAGATCTCGGTAACGTAGATGCATGTTGAAAATTTTATCGATATTGGTTAACGCAGATTCTTGTAGAAAATCGTGACGAAACAGCGATCTTCTCGATCTTTAATTGTTTACAGCTCATATCAAGGTCATCTGATTTCGATTAAATTTTCACCATGCACACAAGTTACCGAGATCTATAAAACGGACTTTTTAAATTTTCGTTATATATTCAGATAAAGAAGTTGAAAAACGTGAGTTTTTTTATTTTTTTGTCATTCCAAGCTATAGCAAAATTAAAAAGAAATATTATAATTACTGTCTAATAGGCTAATCCTTATGCCATTTAGGAATAAATTTAAGTCCTTTTGTCGAGTTTTACAAAAGTTGTACCGTTCTTCAAGCGATGTTAAGCACAAGGTCGCCACTTTACATCCAGCTCGCAACTAGTAATAAGATAAAATATTTCTTTTTATCCGTTTTTAATCCTTTGGCTTTATCAGCATGCATTTTGCAAATTTATAATGAAATCGTTGAAACCATATATGTTCTCTTCGATAATTTCTGATAAGATTTGGCGATGACCTATAGGTGTTAATAGTTCGTCAGAACTAAATCTTCCAGGCGCCTATAGCCGTTGTTTGGGATTGGTCACGCGAATTAGCGGTCAAACATGGTGGATTGCTACCAATTTCGGTGCGATCGTTTAAATTGCAATTAGCGGTGTAATAGGGGAGAATTATCACCAAAGGGACGGATGTTATTAAGACGGATGTTACAGACAAGATTCTAGTTTGAAACGTTCGAAAGATCAATTCTTTTACTACAAAGGTGTATAGTGTCAGTGAGTTCCACCTACGTCTACTTATTTTGCTTTCAATTTTTCTTGAAAGTGCATTTTTTCCAATTCATCAATTGGTTGTATTGAATGGGAGAAGCATATTCATGATAACAAAATAAAGTAATCTCGGTATTAATCTTATAAGTATTGCTTTTTATAATGATCTTAAATTACATAAATCCTACTTCACATCTTTGGTTAATATCAGCTTTTAGCATTTTATGACAATAAATAAACCTTTTAATAAAAAGAAACTTTGAATAATGAAAATTAACACGAATTTCTGAATAAAAAAAAATATCTTACAAATGATCTTAAAAAGAATCTTAAAAATTATAATAGCATAATAAGCAACAAAAGTTTAGGGTACTGTTTGTGCCGCTTGTTTCATTTACCCATTTACTACAGATCTTTCACCGATGTCAGTCTTCATTGCTTTGTGAATGTTTTTTTACAAATTTGACATTCGTCAATATCTTATGCTCCTTTTCTTGCGTTTCATTTACATTTGCTAATAGTTTTCCTATCTGATCCAGATTCTGTAATATTTAACGAATCTGTGCTTCTATTTTTCGGGACTGACACAGTAAATTATCCTTAGAATGCCAAATTTCTGGTTGCTGTGAATTTCTCTGTGCTAGTCCTAAGCCTATGTGATTATCGCTACGTCGATGCTAAGAATCACACTGATGCTGCCCACAAAAGCTGGTACTGATCGGCTACTGTTAATTTTATATTTTATTGTTATCTTCATTGTTACATTCTTCGTTGTTATTAGTTTTGTTATTATTAGACTGCGAATTTTATGAATGTATAACAAAAATGGGTAATTAAAATTTGATACGATGAAAACATTGAAAGAATTTAAGGACATCTGCATATTATTTTTAGCTAAACTTATCCTTGGGGGTATCTATTTTTTCGACTTTCCAATGGATTTTGTCCCGGAAGGGCTAAACTTTTCCTTGGGGCTTATGTCAATGTTAAAACTACATCTCATCACAGCATAACTTTTTAACAAATGAATTTAGGACTTATTTTAATTACAGTCCCAGATTCAGGACTTCGATTTTTGGACTTTTTTCGACAAAATCCATTGGAATGTATACTGGAAAGTCAAAAAAATAGAAACCTCCAAGAAAAAGTTTAACTTTATTTTCAACTCATTTAAATTATTAAAAGAAAGAAAGAAATTTCTATCTAACTCCTTCTCGTCAGAATTATTAAAGATAATTTTTATTTTGCATAAAGCTGCGCAGTTTAGTTATTATGCAATGTAATTGAAGAACAATTTTATTAATACTTTCTATTAATACTTTCGCGATAAAGAGGACTTCTCCGCGTCGAACATCGTCAACAGTAGTCGAAGGTTTAATATAAAACATAAAACATTAATGATTAATTAATGATTAATCTTTATAATATTGTTTGTATTGTATTTCTTATAACTCGGAAGGTTTGAATAATATTTTTAATAATATCGACTAATTGATAAGCTAATCTATAATTCTTTTAATTTGGAAGTCTAAATGATGTTGAATGTTTGCAAAAAGTTAAATGTGTATGGATTACAATAGATTTGTGTAGAGATCCATTATTGTTCACTAACAAGGAGAGGCCCCTAACGTTGACGCTCACTTTTTGATAAGATTTGGTACAGTGACAGAACTTGTAAAGTTGAATTCAATGATACCCTGTTGGGGGGTGGCGGGTGGGGGGCATCGCACGGTGCCATGCGCCGTAATTCAGCGCGTCTTTCTGGCCTTTTATTAACAACTTTAACATTAAATATCTCAAAAACTATAAGTCGTGTGCCCCTAAAACTGGATATCATTGGATTCAGCTTTTCAAGCTCTATCACTCTACAAAATCTCATGAAAAAGTGAGCGTCAACCTTGGGGACCTCTTCTTGTAAGACGGTGCTATTAATTGATTATTGAGAGAGAATAAATTGAGAGACAAGAAAAAACTATTTCTTGTAGGAATAATTAGACAGCACACATTATACAAAGAAAAAATGTTGAAAGTTAATTCTCTCACGAATAGTTTCTGTTAGGACAATGATAATTTAGGTATTTGACTTACTTTCATTCCAGAAATCGAACGATCTGAATTGACCCGTGAAAATTGTTATTTCCTCCGGTGCTTCAAACTTTTAAAAACAAATAAAATATTTTTCAGATATCGTCGATAAGGACGGTGGAGGTGTCACTGTACAATATACTTTTGACGATGTCGTACACCTGCCCATTGCTCTTGTACATTCAACGATATATCTATTTTCTGTCCATCTTTCCACTAGTAAGTTCGGAAATACGACCTTCTCGTTTTTGTTGCATCAAATGAAAGACGTTAACGTAATTATTCTATCCGTTAAGCACAATTTCCATGATCGTAACATTGCTTTTTTATACGGTTTCAGTTAAAAGTTATTTTCGGTAATATCGGAAAGATTTGCAGACAGGCGAAAAATTCTGTTGAACTGGACCTATTCATGAAACATATAATTGATACGCGACGCATAATCGTTGCATATCTAGGTAAAAGGCATTCAATATATAGATCGATATCAAATATATGAGCCGTTTATTTTGAAAGTGGCATAAGTCACTTCGTTTTTAAGTCGATATATTTAAGGGTTTGCGTTTTAACACGTTTAAAAATATGGATGCTAACTTTCGAGAAGATTTACTTGTATTTGTTATCTCAGGATACTGATATTTTTTTCAGTATAAATAATTTCGTATAAACATTAAAAAATCACCACTTTTCATTACGGTAAAGTGACTTATGCCACTTTCAAAATAAACGGCTCATATAAGAAATGAAAAAAATATTTGATTATAATTTTATTTGAAAAAAATGAATTTTTATGGAAATATAGTGCGACAAAATGATAACACGTTTAACTACGTATCATGTATAACAATAAATCAACGAATGATATTTAATGCTTAATATTTTCTAAATTCTCCTTGACATTTAATAACAACCATCATTCTTTTTGGAAAAGATTTATAAAGTCTTTTAATAGTTTCTGACTCCAATTGCTCCCACTAATATGGAATACATTTTTTTCAATCGGCGCTGTCTCGAAAATTGTCTTAGATTCCCATACACAGCTCGGTTAAGATTCGATCTAGCGAGCAGTGTTGTTAGGTCCAGTGCGATTTCAGCGCCTTTTGTAACGGAGGGGATAACGAAGTGCTACGAACTGACCCACTGGCAGAGTGGGAGACTCGGCTACGTCATTCTCGACGTCCCGCAAACTGGCGTAGGCGCAGAGGGTGGCCTCGCGAGGAGATTGGGAGTACTAATACATCGACTATTCCATTATTGCAGGCGATGACAATATAGCATTTCTGGACTTAGTTACACTGATCGCGACAGCAGGTCGGCCTTATGGCATGGTTGGATTCTAACCGTCCCCGTTCGCAAAGGGTTAAATGTCAAAGAATCCACTCGTCGTACAATGTCCCTCTCACTATTAACCCTTTGCATTCCGCTGTCTCCTCTCGTGGGACATCGTAATTCTAGCATATCACTCGGATGTCCCCTCTTGTGGGACATTAAAGTTTATTAGTGATTACGGGGAATTGAGTTATTTCAGCGCAACTTTTTGAGACACATGCATGTTTCCCTGAAGTTTTCTCTTGAGAAGATTTTCTTCTACAGTTAGTCTATCGTTTTGATAACAGTGATAGTGATATCGTCCAAGCAACAAGGCGACGAGAGAAAGAGTTCGCATAGATAGCGATTACAACAACAAAACAAAATTATAAAAAATAAAATATTGATTTTTTTGCAAATTTCTCGATTTCAGCCGATTTATATAAGTCCAATATCATTATAATATGTTAGTTAGTTCCCCAAAACCATACTAAATAATACGAGGGTCTATAAATGTCCGTTTCTACCGAAAAGTGGCGCTGAGTAGCTGGTAGCCAACGTCCAGAATGATTCGGAGTGCTAAGGGTTAATTCTTCTCGCAAGTGAAGATTACTTTGGAAGTAATTATCCCCTATGTGGTTAAAAACGTCCTCAACGAGGCTTAGCACACGTGATCCAGAATATGGATGCGCGCAGTAGACCTCTCTTAATTTTACTTGAACAAACTATGCGGGAGCTAAGTGCTTCGAGTAAATGTTTTCTTTTTACTTTCTGTAATACAGCTATTGTACACAACTTTCAATTTTGTGTATAAAATAAATTATCCCCAACTGACGCTTAGTTTGGAAACAAAAGTGGACAATTTGGGAAGAGGAGGTACGATTATTCCAGCCTTGCGACTTGTTTTTATAGTTGTTGACAATCGGTAACTATAAAAACGAGCCACAGAGCACGAATAATCGTATCTCCTCTATCTAAATTGTCTATTTTTGTGTGTAAGCTGAGCGTCAATTAGGAAGAATTTTCTGTATTAGCTTTCAGGAACATTGTTACATCATCCAAGCTATTTGGAACAACAATAATACTAACCTTGCACTATTTTGTATTCTAGCTACGTCGTGTATAACAGCATGCTTCACACTTCTGGTAATAGGAATCCCTACAATATTGCGTTCAAATCTTCAGCTGTATTATCTACGCATGTTTGGATTCTTTTACAATCAGGGAGGTCAGCAAACCGATATCGTTTGTCTTCTTCTGATATTGGTAAACGCAATGGGTGTCATGTCGATAGCAGGTACAGAGGCGGCAATCGGTGTCAATGTTTCTTATTTATGCGGTCTGCTCGAAGTCACCAGGTATGAAATGAACTTTCCAAATGTTTTCGTTGATTTTCTATTTCCTTCGTGCGTATATTTTAGAAAATCTTTTTATCCAAAAATATTTCTTTCCGTTCCGGACATTTTACAGGGTGTCCCAAAAATGTTCCCCAATCCGGGAATGGGGGAGGGAGGTTTCCGCGGTCATTTGAAGTATTAGGTCTACCGGAAAGTTCTGTCCGTTTTTGAATTGAAATATAACACAATTTTCATGCATTCAATAATGTTTATTGTAGAATATACTTTCCATCGTTACTTATGACTTCTTGCCAGCGTGATGGCAACTTGTAAATGCCATTTTTAAAAAATGATTTATTTTTAGAGGCGAAGAACTCAACTAGTGCTTGGTTGACATCAGCTTCAGTTTTGAATTTTTTTTCCTGTAAAAAGTTTTGCAAAGAGAGAAACAAGTGATAATCGGAGGGTGCTAGGTCTGGGGAGTATGGTGGATGTGACAGAATTTCCCAGCCTAGCACTGCGAATTTTTGACGAGTCGCCAAAGCAGCATGTGGTCTGGCATTATCATCGGTAGCCATGTTTTCACGATCGCGTCTCACTTAATAATGACATGAGACATCTTTGTTTCAGTTTATTTAGGAGAGTACATGTGTGTAAATGCAATGATAAAGAGAGATTGTCATATATGTCTCAAATCAACATGTGCATATGGATTGAAACTTGAAGTGACACTATCGGACAGAACTTTCCGGTGGACCTAATAACTTTCTCCTTAGCGAAAATGCAATCCGCGGTTTTGTTTATGAGTTATTAACGAAAAATACTGACCAATAAGAGACAAGTAGCCCAGGCAGCGCGAGGCAGTCCAGCCAACGAGCGCACGAAGCCCATTGGCTGCACGAAGCATGTTGGATGGTCTGCCTCGCGCCAGCCGAGCTCGTCTCTTATTGGTCAGTGTTTTTCGTTAATAACTCATAAACAAAACAGCGGATTGCATTTTCGCTAAGGAAAAAGTTACTTCAAATAACCTCAGAAATCTCTCATTTTCGGAATACGAGACATTTTTGAGACACCCCAGATAACACAAATCTATACAACACTGCCTACTGGTTAATTTGTGGCGAATACGCTAGTAACTAACTTGTGATATTCTTTGCAAAAGCGACTCTGAGATTGCGGCCAGCAAGTTGAGCTGGAACAGTTGCAATGTAAACTGTTACGAGCCGAGGGTCGTAACAGTTGGGGGGTAAAAGTCGTTTCGTGGGGTAAAGGGATGGAAATTAAGGGTTTTTCCTCGGTAACTTTATAATAATTCGAGCGGCAAAAGTGTATCGTTCTGGATGGTATTAAGGTAGATGTCCCAATTTCCATGCCTTTAAGCCAATTTTTGCTTTGCTGAAACTGTCATTAGATGCTATAATTTACATTTGATACATTAAAAATATATCTCGATTTTTCAGACATTCTTGATTTTAAACATATTTTTTGCATGATAAAAATGCGTAATTTAATAATGTTTTTAATGAAATAAATAAAAAAAGGTGTTTCTGCCCACGATTCCGTGTCCTTCCAGCAGCTCTGCATATAATTCCATGTCCCGAATTTCTGTGCCTTTCTACATATATGTATATATTTCTACATATGTAGAAAGGCACAGAAAGGACATATATATATATATTTCAAATATATATTTGCTAGCCTCGTATTTCTGTGTCCGTTCATACTTTTGGGCTCCCTATTCCCACCTTATATCTGTATCTCCTGCAGTTACCGTGCTTCTTGTAATAACTTTGCTGATCTGATTTCCTTTTCTCATAATATTGTTTTCATAAAGAGAGGTGAAGTTTGATTACGCGGTCTAATACAAGAGAGCACTGAAATACGGTCATGTTCTAAAATCTAATCCTATTTCTGGATTTATATTAAAAGTATAAAAATATGCATGATTAGTGTTTTTTTTTAAATCGTTGTTAGTACTAAATGAAACCCTCTTACGGCATAATGTAATGTAATGTTTTGTACGATGTAAATCACATTAATAGTTAATTTATATGAAAATCTTCAGTAAACGTTTCTTACGATTTTTGACACGACATACTACTTAGATTCCTCAGAACTGTTATAGCATCGATTGAAAAATGTTTATTACATTTTAACATACCAGAAATATAATAAAAAAGTAGGTTATCAATTTATATATAAATTGACCTTTATCTTTCTTTTCTAAAAGTTTCTAAAAAACTTTTATTTTTCTATACGTTTTTAATCCGGAGGCACGGAAATTGGGACAGGCATGGAAATTGGGATATCTACCTTAGCTACTGGAATCGAAGGGGATGTAACTGGATAGGTTAATTAGACTCGATATACTAATACTACAGTATAGTATATTACCAAAATAATTAAGGTTTTACAATTATTTAAATATGTACTGTTTCGCGGATTCAATGTCCCGTGCTCATGATTTTCATGCACTGAGGAATACAGGGGCCGATGAGCGTCGATTTTGTGATCCTTTTACACCATAAAATTCGTCTAAAACTGATGGTGGTGTACCTTAAGAAGGGGCCAAGAGGCCCTTACTTGTACCTAAACGCGAGACCTTGAGAAATTCTTCGCAGGCACAGTACATATCTACAAGTTGCTCTCCTAAATATTGTCGCACGTTACTTGCTAGTGTATCCGCATCTTTTAGAAAAGCCTGCTAGAATTAGTATTTCTACAGAGTGGAAATAATCATTAATTACCGCAAAACGTGACGCTGTTTAAATGAGGAGAATATTTAAAAGTTCAATCACTTCAGTTTGAACATTTAATAAAGTGGCATTAACTGTATAACCATGCACAGTAAAGAAAATGGTTTAAGTAAATATTATCTAATTTGTCGAGAACTATCATAAGTTAATTAGACCCTTCACAGTGTAATTATTTGATTTATAAACAGAATGGAGGGTATACTTATATTCTTCATTCTAAGCAAACAGCTTATAATACTTTACTATTATTATTGTGATGTCAATAATATTGTGATTTCAATAATGTTAATATATTTATATTTTTTCAGTTACCGATTAGACATCGCTGTTAACGATATGATAAACTCAGCTACGATGTCACAAATAAACATACGACCAGCTGTGGCCGCCCATCAGCGTGCTCTTCAGTTAGTAACTTTACTTAGACGTTATAGTAGTATTGATATACATTTTATTATACTTTTATTGCGTCTTTTACTTACTTGTTACTTGCGTTACTTTTACTTGCGTCACTTACTTGTACTGGATTCATCGATGACCAACACACTGGAACGCTGTGAATTCGTGAACGCAGAATGACCAAAACTGTTACGAACAGAGTGAGTAAGTCGTATTTAGTGGCTATCATAGCAGTTATCGTCTCATTTGCTGTCAATTTATACCGTGTAAGCATTGTTAGATGTGAGTAGAAAACAACTCGAGAAGCTATCGCGATAAATTTTTATAATTCTTGTCAACAGAAATGCAATGAAACAGTTTGTGTCTTTTTTTTATATGTGACAGTTGCTTCTAGCAATAAAGGATATGACAGATGCGGAAAATGTTTTTTTTTCTGCGAGTTTTGTTGCACTACATTTTATAAACATGTTCTTAAATAATCATTCCGGACAGAGACTGAGAGACACTGGTAATGAGATTTTTCATAGAACGTAAGTCTACGTTTTTGTTATCAAATTTTTCTATTGTAAACGTAAGATACATTTTATAGTAGATGCCTCAGTAACAATCATAGATTATGAATGTATACCCCTGCAATATAACAGATAGTCTGCAATATGCGATCATATTGTCAAAAATACATATAGTACATAAGTTATAGTTATACATATATACATATAACTATAACTTATGTACTTATATAACTATAACTATAACTATATATTTGTATAACTTATATAACTTATTATTTTATATATTATATTATATAATATAATATATATAAGTTATATATATTATATACATAAGTTACAGTGTTTGTTAGTTATGCAATTAGTTTACTCATTTATTGCATGATGTTCGCTAAAATCGTATCTAGAGTTCATTTTATGTTTTCTTAATTTGTGGAAAATATTACAAAATGCATGGAGCCGAAGGGTATCAAAAGTACTGGGAAAACTAATTTTTATTAGTAAGTAAGTTAGTCCAAGAAGGAATAAAAAAACGCGATGGATATATCGACGAAAAGAACGTGTAATTTTCGTTTAGTAAATCGACGTTATTTTTATAACAACTTAAAATATATATATGTACTTGTTACAGTTTAAC